TCGAATAAGGTGCCGGTGGTCCAGCCGTCCCATGCCGTTCACCCACTCACCCCTCTGATCACATACAGTGACGAGCACTTCGCCCCCGGCCCACATTCGGGACACCACCCACAGGATGTCAACCCCAAGCAAGGTAAACGCACACTGGCCGCATAAACCTGCTACTGTCTCATACCAAACTTAGTTTATAAGGTTCCACAATGGCATCAGTGGAATATTTAGCATCTGTGGGAACTTTTCATTGCACAGAATGTAAGTTTATAGACAAACAAATGTTGCTTAGATTATGAAGAAGTGCTTCATAACACTCAAATTCAATGGAAGGTTCATTGGGTAATCTAAAATAGTGGTTTGTACATTTTAATTGACAAAGTACCATTGCTAACTAATTCCCATTAGAGTATTAGGGCCTACTCATAATATGCTATCCGAACTGTGCTCAGACCCGTTTCCTGGATCGTTTCAGAAGTGTGAGTTCTCTGAATCGGGCTCAGGCACAGTTCATTTGGCCGGCCCTGGCCTGGTTGGAAGAGGTGAGCCAGGGCGTGGTTCACTTGGACTTTAGCGTGGTACGCTTGTGTGTGAGTGCAAATGTGCCTAAGCCCAAAACTGAAAATGAGACGTGACTTACAAGGAATTGTTTTTATATGGATTTATTGATCATTCTTACCTTTCAGTGAACACAAACTGTCGTAGTTTATTAAAGATGCAAACCCCTCACTGCACCACAGGTGCACCTTCAGCAAACCTCCTAAAACCTGCAGCACGAGTGCTTTATGATTGTTTATGAGCGTCAAAAGTGGCAGATCTGTTTGACTGTGTATTACTGCATATCAAATGACTTAAACGATATAACTAAAGAAATCCCCACTGTGATGAGCGAAAGCGCTTACTGAACAGCACAGCATCGGTGACGTAAGCGTGCCTAGGCCTGAATGTAATGTGAGTGCGGGCCGTCAGGGGAGACGGAAGGGGCGACAAGCGTGCTTTGACCCGGTTCAAGGCAACTGTACATAGTGTGAGCACGCCCTAAGCATAAACCTCTCTTCTCATTGGACTTAGTTATTTGTACTGGGAAAAAGTACTGAAGATGATATTCATTTTAAAGGGATTTAAATTATAAAGGAACTAAGCTGAAAAGAAAATGAATAAATAAATAAAAATATTGGTCACACTTTACAATAAGGTTCATTAGTTAATGTTAATTAATGTGTTTACTAACATGACTAAACAATGAACATTACATTTACTACAGTATTTATTCATGTTAGTAAACTTTAGTTAATGAAAATACAGTTGTTTATTGTTAGTTCATGTTAACTCACAGTGCATTAACTAATGTTTACAAGCACGGACTTGGATGCTAATAATGCATTAGTAAATGTTTAATTATGATTAATAAATGCTGTACAAGTGTTGTTCATGATTAGTTCATGTTAGTTAATGCATTAACTAATGAACCTTATTGTAAAGTGTTACCAAAATGTATACACGTATACAATTATTATTTTTTTCAACATTTGATTGAATGCAGCTTGGTTAATATTACGATTAAGCATTAATGTGAAGTTGATTAAACTAATTTCGAGAGGAGCACATGCATATGATTGACCGCACTACCTAATGGGTGATTCACCAATCGGATGATCCTTAACTCATTATAAATAACCAGAATACCTTGTCTCAGTCATCTTCGGTTTGAAGAATCCCCTCATTTACACATTCTCCTCATGTTCGCGTAAACTTCCCATGGGTTCTCCAGTTTCATCACACAGTCCAAAAACTTGCGACATAGGTGAATTGACCAAACCAAATTAGCACCACAGATGAGCTCTTAATCAGCAGTATATCTCTCTGTAGCAATCCCTAATTTGTCATTAGCCATAAATAGCAGGGGAGTTCTCGAGATCTACCTGAGCTCAAACTCCCCTCTCACCCTGCAAACAGGAGGGAGCCCCAGGCTCAGTTAAGTGTGGGACAGCATGCCAAACAAGCTTTATAATCAACCATCAGCTAAGTGTGAACTCTTGAAACTGTTAAATGAAGGTTTTTATTAACATCAATTGATCCATGAAGATTTCTTTAAAATCTTTTAATTGTTTAAAATTTATATTTGCTTTGTAGCTTCAAATCCATATTTTCAGGACTGGATGATGACACAGTATCTGTATATATTGATGTACACCTTTTTTGTTAATGATACACAAACATATTCATTAAAGTGTAAACAGACATGAAGTTGGGTTGCATGAACAACCCTCAAGCGTCAACAAACATGCTACGACTGACAAGCCATTAACAAGTTGCGTCATGGTCCTGTGACATCAGAACTCATGAACACTCGAGATGTTTTCAGTGAGTTTCTCACCATATAAGGACACAAACACATAAACCTCATGTCTAGAGCTGATTGGACAGTCACTTAACAACTATTTTACTAGTTTATCTTAGAAAAACTATGATCATATATGATGTACTCGCGGAACCCCAACTGTCTATTATTTCATTCTTTTTTTTACTTTAATATCCCTGGACTAAATTGTGACTATACTACTTTTAAACTATTACTATTTAGTATTATGACTATTACATTTTAAACTAAAAAAAACTTCACCAAAAACAATAATATATCAATAGTAATGATAGTTAAAACTTTGTTATTAGTGTTTTCGATTACTTGCAATGAGTCTGTTACAGCGCTGTGAAGGAGTTTTGTGCCATTCATCTTTTTCAAAAAGGTTGAAATTCAGCCACATTGGAGGCGTTTTGAACATGAACCGCCTGTTCAAGGTCATGCCACAGCATTTCAAATATAGGTCAGAGCTTTGACTAGGCATTTTAACATGTTTTACCAACACTTTAAGTGTCTTGATCTTAATTAATTGGGTATGCTTTTTGGTTACTAAAATCGTGTATATAAATCTACTTGATGTCAGATGATGTCACATCACCATTTCCTGCTCCAACTGCTTTTCAAAAATGGTTGTAATTCAGCCACATTGGAAAATTTTGAACATAAACTGTTTTTTTAGGGTCATGCCGCAGCATCTTAATTAGATTCAGGTCAGGGCTTTGATTAGGCCACTCCAAATACTTCATTATGTTTTTCTAACAATCACATAACAACCACCCAGAATATCCTTGCAAGTTGCAACTGCATAGCAACACTCTTGCAGTTCTTCTGAGTTGTAATATTAATAAGGATTAACATTATTTTAAGAAAATACAAAAAAAAAAAAAAAAAAACACAGCATCTCGACTGGATTCAGGTCAGGGCTTTGAGTAGGCCACTCCAATGATAATAACCAAAATTAATATATTTTGAGAAAATAGAAAAAAACCCTCCATTGGGTTCTTGAATATATTTTTGTCACAATTTAATTTGGTTTAACAATGGTAAGTTTTTTTTTTTAATCTGAATTAATTGGCTATGCTTTTTGGTTACTAAAATACATAAATGTACTTTGTGTCTGATAATGTCACGTCTAAATTTTCTGCTCCAAATGCTTTTCAAAAATGGTTGTAATTCAGTCACATTGGAGGCTTTTGGAACATGAACCTCCTTTTTAAGGTCATGCCACAGCATCTCAATTGGATTCAGGTCAGGGCTTTGACTAGGCCACTCCAATAATATTAACAGAAATTAACATATTTTGAGAAAATACTAAAAAAAATTAAAAAATAAACTCCTATATGCGTTCCTATATATATTATATATATTTAGTTTAAACTTTGTTTCTTGATCTTAATTAATTTGGTATGCTTTTTGGATACTAAAATCGTATATATATACAAATGTACCTGATGTTTGATAATGTCACATCACCATTTCCTACTCCAAAATGCTTTATCAATCCATATGGGGCGGCTCAACAAATGCTAAATAAAAAATAAAGTAATATTTTTGAAAATAATGTTTGTAATGTTTATATTGTCTAATATCTGATGTAATTTTTTTTATATATATCACTAAAATATTAGTGTTTGGGATGCAGCAGGTCCAGAGACTGTAGTAAAGATCTGATTTTGGAAAATATTTGCTTTAATGTGTGATTTGGCTAAACAATGCTCATAAACCACAATCTCAATTCAAAAAAGTAGAAACTTAGTCATAGAAAAGGCAAAGAAACATCAAGGTTAACTAGTGGATGGAATACAGAAACATTTAATTTAGAAAAATGAATAAACAAGTTCTGCAGAAGAAAGGCATGCAGGTTTGGAATAAAAGGAGTTTTAATTTTTGAGTGAACTAACCCTTTAAATGTGTTTCAGTGATGTAATGTAATTTCCTGGTGTATATAAGTGTTCTCCATTATCCCTGATCCAAAAATATGTTAGCTACACACTTACACTTTAAAAAGCTAACAGTCCATTCCCACCAGAATCTAATTTCCCTCAAGTCGTTCAAAGAAGGTGGGGTTAAAGTTTAAAAGGGGTGGAGAGATTTTTGGCAGACGCCGTCGCACGCGAACTCAACTCAATATGTGCTCTTTCCGGTGAACACTCACCTCTGTGGCAGCCGGGATGTGATGGAGAGATATAAATAGCCCGAATGGGGCCGCACGCCACTAGCAGATTGGCCAATGATCCAAAACTGCCTCTGTTTACATACACAAAAATCAAGTCACTTATTCATCAAACTTAATGGGCTGAAGGCAAAAATACACTGACATTAGGCTTTCTTAGAATTCAGATGTAGTGAAGTCAAAGGTGCGCTATTGTACTGATTTATTTTGAATAAATATTAGTGATGCATCATGATAATTGCACATTTTTACCATGGTTTACAGAAAGACCAAAGTCATTCAGTGTAACAGCATTTCTGTTTATCAAGGAAAATCTATTCTTTAAACCCTTACATTTCACTCCTTTTAAATAGTTTTAAATTAGTTTTTAAGTTGTAAATTATTTAAAATGTTGACTAAATTAAATGAATTATTACTTACATGTGATTTATCTATATACGTATACAGTGGTGTGAAAAAGTGTTTGCCCCTTTACTGATTGTTTTTTTTTTTTTTTTTTTTTTTGCATGTTTGTCACACTTTAATGTTTCAGATTATCACACAAATTTAAAAATTAGGCAAAGGTAACACAAGTAAACTCTTCCAGTTTTTAAATGACTGTTTATATTATTAAGGAAAAACAAATACAAAGCGGTGCAGTGGGTAGCACGTTCGCCTAGCAGTAAGAAGGTCGCTGGGTTGCTGGTTCGAATCTCGGCTCAGTTGGCGTTTCTGTGTGGAGTTTGCATGTTGTTCGCACTCCGGGTGCTCCGGTTTCCCCCACAGTCCAAAGACATGCAGTACAGGTCAATTGGAAAGGCTAAATTGTCCATAGTGTGTGTGTGTGTGTGTGTGTGTGTGTGTGTGAATGAGTCTGTGTGGATGTTTCCCAGAGATGGGTTGCGGCTGGAAAGGAATCCGCTGCATAAAAAACTTGCTGGATTAGTTGGTGGTTCATTCCGCTGTGGCGACCTCGGATTAATAAAGGGACTAAGCCGACAAGAAAATGACTGAATGAATGAAACAAATACAAAAATACATAGCTTTATGGGGGCAAACACTTTTTCACACAGGGGCTAACAACTGGTTGGTCCACCCTCAGCAGCAACCACTGTGATCAAGCGTTTTCGATAACTTGCAAAGAGTCTGTTACAGCGCTGTGGAGGAATTTTGGCCCACTCATGTTTTTAAAATGGTTGTAATTCAGCCTTATTTTGGGCATGAATGGCCGTTTCCAGAACATTGTGGCCAGGATTCCAACCAGAACCAGAAAATCAGAGCACATCACACCTGTCCTCAGGTTTTAACACTGGCTCCCAGTTACATTCAAAATAGATAATATTATTACTGGTTTATAAGTCACTAAACGGCCTAGGATCTCAATACATTACAGATATGCTCACTGAATACAAACCCAACAGATCACTCAGATCTTTAGGATCATATAAACTAGAAATTCCTGGAGTTCATTCAAAGCAGGGTGAATTTGCTTTCAGCTATTACGCCTCCCACTGATTGAATCGGCTTCCAGAAATGATCAGATGTGCTCCGACATTAGGTACACTTAAATCAAGTCTGAAAAGGCATCTGTTTAGCTGTGCCTTTACTAAATGAGCACTGTGCCACATCTGACAGATCACACTATTATGTCTTTCTCTCTTTTCTTTTTCATTCTTTTATAACCGCTTTAACACAATTTGATCTGTTTTCATCACTGCTATTTGTTTTTATTTTCTCATACACTTGTCTCTTTTATTCTTGTTTATGTAAAGCACTTTGAATTGCCACTGTGTATGAAAACTGCTCTATAAATAAACTTGACTTGCCTAGCCTTGTCAAGGTCATGCACAGCATCTCAATTGCATTCAGGTCAGGGCTTTGGCTAGGCCACTCCAAAGTCTTCATTATGTTTTTCTTGAAATCACAATACAGAATACCATGGCAAGTTGTAACTGCATAGCAACACTCTTGCTTATAAAGCTTGTTCGGCATGCTGTCCCGGGAGAGAGCCCTGAGCTCATAAGATCCTCGAGCCGAGGGCTCCCTCCCATTTGCAAGGCGAGAGGGGTGTTTGAGCTCAGGTAGATCTTGAGATGAACTCCCCTGCTGTAGTAGCTAATGAACAGATAGTGATTGTTCTTAAGAGATAGCTACTCTTTACATAGAAACATCGGATGGATTGGTAAGGACCATGCCCAGATTGGCTAATCGGGAGGACCGGGAGAATTCCCGTTGGGCCGGTCCATTTTTTGGCCGCTAGGGCCAGTGTCCCTAGCTCCAGAATCTGTTGCTCTCAGCAGTCACACTTTTTAAATGAATTTATTTATTTACTTGACCACAGTGTTCTTATTCATTATTTTACCGCATTATTTTGCTATTTTTATATATAGCCAACCTGCAGGTTAATGATGATATAAATCAGATGAGCCACCTTTCAATATACAGCTGTTGTGGTCCAGTGGTTAGCACATTAGATTACGACGCCACCGACCCGGGTTTGATCCTCATCTGAATATATAATTTTTTTTAATTTTTAATGTTAAGACATATAATACTGTTAGGGTTGTTGAACATTTGAAGTTCTAGAGCTGCTGTTTTCTCAAAGACAGACGTGATAGTGTAATTAGAAACTGAATTGGAAATGACCTTATTTTAATAAAACTTAGTCAGTCGTGAACTGAGGTGGACCGGTCTGAGGCTCGAAACTCCAGGGCTGAAAAGGAGTCCCACTCCGGCCCTGGTAAGGACTAGAACCAGTGACGTTCTTGCTGTGAGGCAACAGTGCTAAACACTGGGCCACCATGTGGGAAAGGAGGAGGAGTAGAGGTTGAAGGGGGGATTCTTCAAAACGAATATGGCTGTCATATGGAACTTAGGGTATTTATAGTGGCTTAGGAATCGTCTGATTGGTGAATCATAAGTTGAATAATGCAGGACCAGCCGCAAGCAATCATAAGCACGTGATCCTCTCGAAATTATTTTATAAATAAGCTTCACAAAAACAAAAAAGTTTTAGTATTTTACAGTCTGCATATTTTGCTTACCATGTAAAACAATAGAGTGAGAGAGAAATGATGATTTGGAGATGCGGGCTTGTTTTTTATTTAAACCTTCTGTTCTTGCTGTGTGTGTGTACACATCCCCAAGGCTTTGTTGTCATCCTTAGACGCCCCTTTGACAGTTTAATTTAGCCCTAGGGCCTTTATTCACGTTTAAGTCTTCATACACAAACACAGTCTTGACCTTGGTGTGAATGTGAGTTCCCGTGCATGTGTGTGTGTGTGTTTGGGGTGAAGTTGAGAAGCTTAGTACTGCAGGCCAACTGACATCCATAAGCAGCATGAATCATATCAGCGGGGCTTATTAGAACAGCGCAAGAGCATTCCTAATTATCCCATGATCCGCTTATGCACCGCACCGGACCGCAGGGCCCGACTGTGCAGCACACATTGATGCCACACTGCTGTTCTCCAGATGTGTCTGTCTCACACTAACACACGCCACTGTCGCTTTTATAATACTCTGCTTCTTCGATCCTGAAGCAGGTATGCCCAGGCATCATCCTGGACCAGACATTCCCAATTTCTATCCCCTTTCCCCGGGGGGAGTTGGACAGATGACCCCTCCTCTGGGTTGGTAAGTGCACTTATATATAATGTATATGTATGTGTATATATGTGTGTGTATTATTTTAACATGGATCATCAATAGATTACGATTAGCTATTAATTGTTCATGACACATCCATTCATTTTTCTTTATTTTCTTGTAGCATGAATCTTCAAAAGTTTCAAGTTTACTCGTGGTGAATGGCACATTTAACCCACACAAATGACTTCCCACTTTCAGGTTCTCACATCACATGGTACCAGGCCCTCCTGGACCCCACGCCACAGGAATCCCCCATCCAGCCATTGTCAACCCACAGGTGAAACAGGAGCACGACACAGACCTGATGCACATGTAAGTGTTTCATCCAGGCAGTTGGAAGACTTCTAAAATGCAACCGACATGCCTATATTCCATTTTAGCACATATATTTGACATAGGACTTTCACTTCGACATCTTTCAGTCTTACTCTGCTTCATACTACCATCATAAGCGCCGATCAGCTGCTCATTTATGAACATTTCTGCAGAAGTCCCATAGGATGTAATGAAGACCACAACTTCCACGATTCCACCCTCAGTCATGACGTCATCAAATTAAACCTTTGTTTGTTGTGAATATACGCCATCTAGTGGTGAAAATTGCACATTGTGCCTTTAATAAAGCATCTAATAATGGCAATGTGGTTATATTTAAACACGATTCCACACTCAGTCATGACCTCATCAAAACACACCATTGTTTGTTATGAATAGGCACCCTCTAGTGGTGAAAATGACATTGTGCCTTTAATAAAGCATCTAATAATGATGATGTAGATATATTTAAACATGATTCCACACTCAGTTATGACATCATCAAAATACACCTTTGTTTGTAGTGAAAATGCGCCATCTAGTGGTGAAAATGGCATACTGTGTCTTTAATAAAGCATATAATAATGGTGATATACATAGAATTCTAACATGATTCCACACTCGGTCACAATGTCATCAAAATACACCTTTGTTTGTTGTGAATACACGCCCTCTAGTGGTGAAAATGACAATGTACCTTTAATAAAGCATCTAACAATAGTGATGTAGATATATCTAAACATAATTCCACAGTCACTATGTCATCAAAATACTCCTTTGTTTATTGTAAATGGACACCCTCTAGTGGTGTAAATGACAATGTGCCTTTAATAAAACATCTAATAATGGCAATGTGGATATATTTATTCATGATTTCACACTCAGTCATGACGTCATCAAAATATACCCTTGTTGTGGATATACGCCTTCTAGTGGTTAAAATTACATATTATGCATTTGAGATTAAGATTATATCATCTAATAATGATGATGTGGATATATTTAAACATGATTCTACCCTCGTTCACTTTGTCTTCAAAATATACCTTTGTTTGTTGTGAATATGCACCCTCTAGTGGTGAAAATGACATATTGTGCCTGTAATAACGATCTAATAATTGTGATGTGGTTATGTTTAAACATGATTCCACACTCAGTCACGACATCTTCAAAATATACCTTTGTTTGTTGTGAATACGTGCCCTCTAGTGGTGAACATGACATATTGGGCCTTTAATAAAGCATTTAATATTGGTGATGTGGATATGTTTAAACACGATTCCACACTCAGTCATGACGTCATCATTATACACCTTTGTTTGTTGTGAATACCCGCCCTCTAGTGGTGAAAATGACATTGGGCCTTTAATAAAGAATCTAATATTGGTGATGTGGTTGTTTAAACATGATTCCACAGTTAGTCCCGACGTCTTCAAAATATACCTTTATTTTTTGTGAATAGGCCCCATCTAGTGGTGAAAATGACATTGGACCTTTAATAAAGCATCTAATATTGGTGATGTGGATATGCTTAAACACGATTCCACACTTAGTCACGACGTCATCATATTAGACCTTTGTTTGTTGTGAATATGCGCCCTCTAGTGGTGAAAATTACCAATTGTGCCTTTGATAAGATGTCTGATAATAGCGATGAGGGTCTATTCAAACAAGCTCTCTAATTCCCTAACATAATGTTGAAAAACCAGTCTAACCTTGCATAGACAGTTGGGGAACATCACATTTGACTTGATTTACAATACAAAAAAGCATCTAATACATAATCAATTCTTTAATGTTTTTAGTGCATCTGATTTCAGCTATAACTTGGAATCAGGTCACGAACGCGAGTGAAGTATCGAGTCTCATAGACTTGGTTGGAATATTTAGGTTTGGTTGCCATTACTGGTGAAGTAATCTCTTTGCATGAAAGCACCCAACTGGACATAATTAAAAGCCGCTGCTTGCTTTTTCGGCACTGGCTCCCAGATTGTTCTCTCATGCAGCTTTCTGATTGGTGGTTGGAATCAGACATTCGGCGCTCTCTCACACTCAGTGGCGTCGCTGTGGCAGCCGCTTTCGCACCACCCTCTGAGCATTTTTTTGTATTTCCATGTATCACTTAATAATTCCCATCCCCCCCTTTTTTTTAACTCTTTCCTTCTTCAGGAAACCTCAGCACGAGCAGAGAAAGGAGCAGGAGCCCAAAAGACCTCACATCAAGAAACCTCTAAACGCTTTCATGCTGTATATGAAAGAGATGCGCGCCAATGTGGTGGCCGAATGCACGCTGAAGGAGAGCGCCGCTATCAATCAGATCCTCGGCCGGAGGGTTCGTATCTTAAAAATCTTCCTTATACGAATGGAGTTAGCACTTTTATCCATCTCGGATTAACCAGTACATCAAGCTGATGAATCAGAAATCAGTCAGGTAGTGCATATAACAGATTGTATTCCTGTGTTTTGGAATTGGAAAAAGAGCCACCGTTAAACATATTTAATGCCTTAACCAAAGCCTCTGTGGCTAGCCACAGCAAAGGAGCGTTTTGCGGCGGTGTGGGGTAATTGCACCCTGACATGGTTTGAAGTAAAGCGCCGCTAAATTGGAACCAGTGTTTTGATATGAAATCAAAGTTTCGTGTTTTTTTTTCTTCCTCTTCTCTCATCGCTGCATATGTTAATCTCTTCATCATGTTCCATTCCACCCCCAGGCACACACACACACACATGTACACACACACACACACGCAACATTTGAAAGTTAACAAGGGTTTCTAGCCAAACTCCAGCACGTGTCTCTTTGGAAGAAACTTAAAAGTGCATGTCAGTAATTGACTACTTTTTTTTTCTTCCCCCCTCCTCTCTCTCTCTCTCTCTCTCTGTCTCTAATCTCCCTCTGCACCGAACAGTGGCATGCTTTATCTCGGGAAGAGCAAGCTAAGTATTACGAATTAGCCCGCAAGGAACGGCAGCTCCATATGCAGCTTTACCCAGGATGGTCTGCCAGAGACAATTATGTAAGTGTCCACACTCACACATGGCGGATGGGGAGAGTTGTGCTGTATGTTGAGAGCATATATACAGAAAAATATATAGATGCATGCTAGATGCACAAAGGACACGATACAAGACAATTTCAGATGATAATCTTACCTAAATAATTATTAAATAAGTTTGAGAAGTTGGTTTGCCTATCTGAAAAGTCTGAAGACTGCTAAGTTCAAGACTACCTAGGGGTTAAATTCACAGTATGTTAACGAAATAAGTTGAATATTTGCAAGACTAATATGCAAATAACAATATTTGTTCATACTGCAAAACATTTCAGTTTCATTAATCAAAAACATTTTTATTTTTACAAATTGCTCATCAAAATGTTCTTTTGCAAATTTGTTTGTATAAATGTAGATTTAAGCAATTAAAATTGCATTGAATGTTATTAGTTTGGTCTCACTTAATATTAACCTCCTAGGGCTTAGTGGCCACATGCGTGGACAGCACATTTCAGCTCTTAAGTGGCTATTTAAAATACTTTGGATTATATTTAGTTACAGACATACAGTGTCATCCATTTTTGCAGCATATTAAATCTCCCAAACACTGTTTTTAACTGGCCAAAATGGGAAGAAGTGTTGTTTTTACTCTCTTATAGTCAAAACATGTTAAAAAATATGTATGTGTTATTAATGTATTAAAAAAACAGTCAGGAAAAAGTGTTTTATGCAAATTCGGACCACGAATCCACATATATGCACATCATTTTTCTTCAAAAGTACATCAAATCAAAAGATGATACTTAGGTTTATTCTAATTCGGTTCCAATAAGCCCAAATAGCAAAGAGAAATAAAAAATGCATGTAAAAAAACACCTTGGGCCCTAAGAGGTTAAAGGGTTAAATGTATGGGTGAATTAACCCCTTGATTGGCTTTAATTACTATGTACTTGCCTTTTAAATTGATCATTAGGTATAGTGCACTTGTTATGTTTTTACATTGTACTTAATGTAATTAATTTCTGTAATTACATTTATAATTACACTGTTTACCCATCCCTTACAACTGAACCCACCCTTTAACCTTTCCATACCACCAAACCTGTCCTAACCCTACCCGTATCCCACCTCAAGAGAACCAGAAGTGTTGTGCAATTCATTATGAACACAATAAATAAGTTGTTCTTGTTTTTCAATGCATTTAGTAGTAAAGGCCACTTAATATAAAGCGGGAAACATGAACAAATATGTACGGCAAGACAAAATTTGTGAAGACATTGTTGTGTAAATTGCAAAACTAATTTTACAAACAAATCACACTCTTTTGCACAGCTTATGGTTCACAAATGAGAGAAAATACATCTTGTTTGGACATTAGGGTTTTGACTAGGGTTTAAAGAGTAACACCCAAATAGTTACATAGATCTATGAAATAGCAATATTGATGTGCCAATAGATGAACTATAAAATAAAAATGAGTCGCCAAACTTCAGTCACTAGCTGGATTTCTGTCACCATGTGTTAATGCACATTTTAACAATAGCATGAGAAGCAAGTAATAGAAATGGCAAATTTAGAATAAAAAGCTTTTATTTACAATCTTTTTGCACTCGTTTGAGGTGGTTTTGCACCATGCAATGAAAAGTTAATGCCGATATTGTGAGATGGAAACGCATTTGCTGAATAAGCTCATAAACAAACACGCGATCAATCACAGGTTACCAATACTACAGTCAGCTCTCTAACACCTTGATGGAAACACATATATGTTTATTAATAGCATATATATTTTTATTTTTATTAATATTTTATTAATTATATATATATATATATATATATATATATATATATATATATATATATATATATATATATATAAATTTATAAAGAATGTAAATCTGACTATTTTTAAAACTGCAGCTTCTTCTATGGTGTTTGGCTGTATGTCCACGTTTGCATCTTTTTTCACTTAAATTCCTGTAAAAATGATGATTTATTTTTAAAGGCGGATATGGTAAGACTTTTTCAGGCTTCTGATTATACGGTTAGGAGTATATCACCATCTGATGATCTTAAATGCTCTTAACGACACTTTATAAGGTGTTTTTGTCTTTTCATGTTTACGAAGATTTTATTTTTTCGCACATGTGGATGAGAGTTTTCCTTTTTTAAGACGGAGCAGAAACTGTTTATAAATACACTCACTGGCCACTTTATTAGGTACGCCTGTCTAACTGCTTGTTAGTGCAAAATCAGCCAATCACACGGCAGCAACTCAATACATTTAGGCATGCAGACATGGTCGAGAGGATCTCCTGTAGTTCAAACAGAACATCAGAATGGGGAAGAAAGGTGATTTAAGTGAATTTGAACGTGGAATGGTTGTTGGACGGGCTGGTCTGAGTATTTCAGAAACTGCTGATCTATTAGGATTTTCACACACAAACATCTCCAGGGTTTACAGAGAATGGCCTGAAAAAGAGAAAATATCCAGTAAGCGGCAGTTCTGTGGTCGTAAATTCCTTGTTGATTTCAGAGGAGAATGGCCAGACTGGTTCGAGCTAATAGAAAGGCAACAGTAAGCCACTCGTTACAATCGAGGTCTGCAGAAGCAGAAAAGGAAACTGAGGCTACAATTCTCACAGGCTCCCCAAAACTGGACAATTTTAGATTGAAAAACGTTGCCTGGTCTAATGAGTCTCGATTTTTGCTGCGACATTTGGGGACCAACCCGGTACTAGAAAGGTGTACCTAATACAGTAGCCAGTAAGTGTATATCCATGTGTGTGTGAACAGGGCCAAAATCCTCAGTATGAAAACACTATTGTTTGCTAGTTTTCTCCGTATTATTAACTTCACACTACTCCTTTAGCTTATACTAGCGTGGCAGCTATGAAGGCTGAATTCGCACTCGTAATATATGGTGGTGGGATGACAACTTTGGAAGTTTTAACAGGCATAAATCTCCCTCAATGTGAAGTGCCAGGATGTGATGCTAAAACTAAAACCTGGCTTTCACACTAATCACTAACTGGAAAGGCAACAGGGCTAAAAGGAAACACTTCAAAGACAGATGAACTTTCATCTCCACTTATATATTAGTGGTGGGAGCACACTTGTATTTAATAGTGCTAAGGATTCTGAGCGTATCCCTGCTCTGTCATTGACAGTTTCTACTGCTCTGGGCTTCTTGGTTCTGTCAGCGAGGGCTAGAATACACAGATTAGTGACTGAATAAGTGGATTATCAGACTTTACAGCAGGCAACCAAAGCGTGGCTCATATTGGACTGCAAAATGACAGTGCGGCGCTATCTATACCTATAGTCATCCTGCCAGGGGATTTTGGGTAAGCTACAAATCCTAAAGCAGTCCAGACTCCTCACTCGAGAGGAGTGTTTGTCGTGTCAATTGGAAGAAGGGCCTGATGTTTTATTCCTATTTAACTTTCTGATTGGTGATTAGAATATTCTATCTGAGAGAGTTAGGAAGGGGTATTGGAACCTTAAGTCTTTTGTTTTTTAATTTAATTTAACATTTTATTTTAATATTTTGTTTAATATTTATTTAATTTAATATTTTGTTTAATATTTAATTTGATTTAATTAGATATTTAATTTCATTTAATTAGATATTTAATTTGATATTATTTAATGTTTATTTTATTTTATTTATTATTTAATTTAATATTTAATTTAAATTATTTTATTTAATAGTTATTGTATTTATTATATATTTTAATATACTTTTATTTTATTTCACTTGTTTGATTTTATTTAAATGTTAATATATTTAAAAAAATTATTATACTTGCTTGATTATATTTAAATGTTTATATATTTTGATATTTTTTATTTAATGTTTATATATTTTAATGTTTTTTATTTTACTTGTTTGATTTCATTTAAATGTTTATATTTTAAATATATTTTAATTTAATTTACTTGCTTGATTATATTTAAATGTTTATATATTTTATTATATTTTTATTTTATGTTTATATATTTTAATATATTTTCTATTTTTTATTTTACTTGTTTGATTTTATTTAAATGTTTATAAAATTTTATTTATATTTTTTTAAATTAATTTTACTCGCTTGATTATATTTAAATGTTTATATATTTTAATAATTTTACTTGATTATATTTAAATATTAATATATTTTAACATATTTTTATTTTATGTTTATATATTTTCATATATTTTTTATTTTATTTATTTGTTTGATTTTATTGAAATGTTTTTATATTTTATTTGATTTCATTTAAATGTTTACAAAACTTAATTGACGTAATTTTGTTTTATTTTACTTAAACTTTTTGTATTTTGTTGTAACTTTAGTTTAGTGTTGAGTAATGTATTATTTATTTTATTTTAATAGTTTTTTAAAGACCCTCAATATTCATCATTTGTTTTTTTTATAGGGAAAGAAAAAAAAGCGGAAGAGGGAAAAGATCCAGGAACCTGCTTCAGGTGAGACTCAATAACCTTCTATCCATGCTGATATTTGTGCAGTTTTGTTAATACATGCTCTAAATAAGCTCCATGTCACTTACTTTGCAACTAATGTGGTTAATGATGGGGTTTCGCATCCTCAATATGCACTTTCAGCCAACTTCAATCACAAACTGATGAAGATGAACATTCATTTAAGACTTTGTTTGTTGCCTAAAAATTAAGTTCTGTACATACTTTTCATTTGCATATACATTATGAACAGAGCATCCCACCACTCCATCTTTCATCCTCTCACAATTCAGTCTTTAGGATTAGTCTGTTTAAAAATAAAAATAAAAGCCTCCACATGCTTCCTTCAGTGCTTTCTGCTCTTTTATAAACGCATTAGCAATGTATGCTTAACACTTCAATGTTTGTCTGGCACTAAATCTAGATGATATCATTAAAACTTGTGTATAATGTAAAAGTTAAAGTGATAGTTCACCCAAAAATGAGACATCATTTACCCTTGTGTTTTGTTTTTTGTTTTAGATGGAAATGGCTTTTTCTTTTATGGAACACAAAAGGTGAATGTTTGACGTCAAGTCACTTTTATTTGTACACCTCTTTATGCAATACAATGTTTCAAAGCACACTAACACCGGAAAATAACTGAATATGCAATGTCATGTTGATTCAGTTCAGTTCAATTACAAATCCCAATTTCGTCACTTAGTACTGTTGCTTGATGGATGAATTCTTGGATTAATATGGCACTAGCACTTTATAAGTCTCTGTAAATCTTTCATGTGACTAATTATGTTGCTTTCAAACTAATGATTCATCATTTCTGGGTGAACTGTTTCTTTAATAAATATGGCTATTATGCTGTGCAGACCAACCCTGTTTGTTGGCCATAATCTGACATAATAAGACCAGAGACGGACTTTATTTTGTTACTTGGAGGCACATCTTGACAATTAAAAAGCTACCATTTCCTGCAGGTACAGGCCAGAGAATGAAAACGGCGTACATCTGAACAATGGTAAGAGCCTCTTCCATACCTCTGGTCATAAACTGTCTTAAATTTCCTAAAGTGTTTTTTAGCGATCAGAAAAAACCTTGAGACTAATCCTAAAGGCCCACTTTGAGTTCACCAATCAACCATTCACAAGCTGATGTTTGTGTTGTGTATATGTGTGTGTGTGTGTGTGCTAATGTTAACCGGTTTCCTCTTCCGAACGAGCTGATGAATTGTTTTGACAAGCTATTTTTCTGTCCTAAGAAATCCATTACATCCCTTTTCCTGTGTGGCATTGGGTGGCGCGTCAGTATTTTCAGACTTTTATCAAGAGCATAACGCTTTGTTTTGAAAGATCACAGAAGTAATCTGGACCGAGTCTGCTCCAAACATCAAGTCCACACTACTATCAGGTTTCTTTTCCTCATTCATTTCTTCCATCTTTAATATTTTGGCATGCACCATCAACATGCGATCCTGTGGCTCGTGGCCATGTTGGCGCGTATTATTCAGCCTTTTGGAGAACATTTGGAAACCAGAATGGTATTGAAAGAGTCGACCCAGATGTAAGCTAACTTTTTTTTTTTTTAGCTTTCACCCATATGGCCCCCATGTGTTATCTAGCCAACCCTGTGAATGAATGAAGACTTTGCCAGCGTATTTGGCTCGTCTTGTGCGTATTCATTTTCTAGCACTCAAACTAGCAACTGGCCTAAAAGAAGTTCTCGAAACAAAGGAGATCATTTCTCTCAGGTGAAATTTCAGCATTAATTATTATAGCGCTAAAAAAACAAAACAAAAAAACCCCAGTAAAGTTAGTATAAGAACCCCCTGTTTATTTTCCCCCAAATCTTAATGTTTTTTTCAACAAATTTCTAATCATAATAGTTTTCATAACTCATTGCTAATAACTGATTTATTTTATCTTTGCCATGATGACTGTAAATAATATTTTAATTTAAAATACTAGTATTCATCTTAAAGTGGCTTAACCATGTTAATTAGGCAAAATATGGTAATTAGGCAAGTCATTGTTTAATGATGGTTTGTTCTGTAGACAATCACAATTAATATTGCTTAAGGGGGCTAATAAATCAGGGTATATTCTGTCCACTCCATATCTGTTTTAAAACTGAAAAGGAAAACTAAGAAAACAAAAATCTAAAAAAAAAAACAAAAAAAAAAAAACCAATGAAAAAACTGATTTTGTCTCGATTTTTATTTGCTGCTTTAGGGTAGGAAAAACAGATCAACGACTTTAAAATTCATTATACACATGTTGGTGCCAAAACACCCTTTTCCTCTGATTGGCCAACCAAATCTTTCCTCTGATTGGCCAACCAAATCTAAATAATGTCGCCCTCAAAATAATAGTCATATATATATATATATATATATATATATATATATATATATATATATATATATATATATATATATATATATATATAATTAATATAGGAGAATATAAAATAAAAACAAATGGTACCATTTGTTATAGCCCCAGGGTCCAATGTGTCCATACTGTGGTCCTGCTAACAACTATTAAAAAATTTATAGAATAAAAAAACACTGAGGCCCAATCCCAATTCTACGTCTTCTTCGTTTTGTGCGTTCACGTGAAGGGGTAGGGGTGTCCCAATTCTCTTTATCTTGAAAGCGTAGGGCTAAGGGGAAGGGCTAGACACCCTTTGAAACAGAGATTTTTCAGGACCACACTTGAAACCAAGGGGTAAAAAAATTTCCCAGAATACACCATCTACAACAGCTGTATACCTCCACCTGAAAGTAAGGAGATCCACAAACAAGCACGTTTTAATACATCTATAACCGCGTTCGTGTTTTACCGTCATGTTTTTAAAAAAAAGCTAAAATAAAAAACGCTAAATTTTGCGACCTATAATGCCTAATATTAACTGCCTTACAGCAGTCTTACAAAATTCTGTCACTCGATGACACTCGAATACCCCGTCAGAAAAGTCTAGCAGCTGGGAATGAGCTTTTTACAGTGTCTGCTATAATGCTAATGCTGTTTTTGGTGTGTTTACACAGATGAATATGGCCACTGTGTAAATGCACAGTACAGTTACAAGTTTATTGCCACATTAGATCATTATGATAACATAATATTTTTGCCTTCAGTGATTTTTGTGAAGATAAATACCAAAATATAACACAACTGGAATAACTACTGCAGGGGAAGGGGGAGGGGTACAAAAACAGAATTGGGATTAGGCCTCAGTAAACAATATTTATTATTATTATTAATATTATTATTATTATATAGGCCTTGCTCGGAAGCAATCATGCTTCCAGGGTCTGCTTGGAAATCTTTGCTCACCATCAGGTGCGCAGCAGCAAGACGTTTGGCAACAAACTGACCTTATTTAATGACAAATGTCTAATATTACTGCTAATTTACGTTTTTATTTTATTTATGCATACATAATGAATGTAAGCCTGCTAACTGATCAAACGATAGAATATGTTAACTTGGTTTATATATATATAATTAAATAATAATCGTTAAAAGCCTGGGTGCTGATTTGCAGAAGACTATTATTTTGAGGGCGACGTCACGAGTTCAGATTTAGTTGACCAATCAGAGGAAAAAGGGCATTTCAGCACCGCCTACATGTGTATAATGAATTTTAAAGTCATTTATCTGTTTTCCTACCCTAAACCAAAAAAAACAAAAATCCAGTCAAAATCATTCATTTTTGCTTTTTTGAGTGTGAAAAAACGAAAAACAAAAATTTTTTTGTTTTCTTAGTTTTTCTTTTTCCTTTAAAAATCAGATATGGAATGGACAGAAGATGCTCTGATTTTAATAATTTTTACCTTAAAATGCTTTTAAATAAATTAAAAACTGCTTTTTTTCTAGCTGAAATAAAACAAATAAGACATTCACCAGAAGAAAAAAAAATTATAGGAAATACTGTGAAAATTTCCTTGTTCTGTTAAACATCATTTGGGAAATATTAAAAAAATTAAAAAACAGGAAGGCTGATAATTTTTAACTTCAACTGTATCCTTTCTCCCCCACCATCATTTTATTTAGCCCCCCATATCCTGTTATTCTGCTTTTTTTTTTTTTTTTTTTTGCTGTAAAAGCTGCGCAGATGTGACAAATCTAGGCCTTCCCAAAAAACCTACAAGACAAAGGTTTTACGGTTGATCGGTTCAATACCCTGTGGCTCGCGAACACAAATTGGGACTGTTTTGCACTTTCTTCTTCTTTTTTTTCTCGTTCTGAGGGCTGCAATGGCTTTGAAAAGGCAGTTAAAAGGAGCTCTATCTGCAATCCAATAATTAGCAGTGCCAGGCGAACTGGGGATGATGGACGCCTGGGCTGATTCATATACATAAAACGGAGAATACTGCCTCTACTTCTCAATTTATGCAGATCTGACAGACTGAGAAACGATTCATTTGTCCGTTTTGTTATTGATTCACATTCTAATTGACATAAAATGAATTCGCTTTCAATGCTTTTAATTAGCGGTTTAATTTACTCAAACAAGAAAGATGTTTTTTTTTTTGTCTTGTAGATTATATTTTAACTAAAACTAAAACTGTGCTCCTTGGGGTTTTCATCTAAACGCAAATGAATGAAACAGTGAATAAAACATATCTCTAACTCGGTATTTACAACATTATTAACTTTAAAGGAACACTCCACCTTTAAAAAATAATTTTACAAGTTAAACGGGTGAAGTTACAAGGCTTATTTTACAAGTTAAACGGGTGAATTTTATCATTGCATTTTTATTATTCCATTCTGGTGATTTCCGGCTCTGGCAGGAGCCCTTTTAGCTTAGCTTAGCATAAAACATTGATTCGGATTAGACCATTAGCATCTAGCTCAAAAATGACCAAAGAGTTTAGAAGATTTTTCCAGTTTAAAGCTTAATATAGACCAGGGGTGGCTAACCCTGTTCCTGGAGAGCCACCTTCCTGCAGATTTCAGTTCCTACCCATATCAAACACACCTGAACCAATTAATTAGGGCCTGAACACCACATGATAATTACAGGCAGGTGTGTTTGATATGGGCTGCAACTGAAATCTGCAGGAAGGTGGCTCTCCAGGAACGGGGTTGGCCGCCCCTGCTGTAGACCATTTCAATGTGGTCATGTCATTGTCCCATGAACATTTCCTGCATGTTATCAAACTATTTTCATAACTGCAACCAGAGGCAATTCAATCGTTACTTAATGTTAAAACAGCTATCATAATAGTATTTATTATCATGCGGCTGTTTTTTGATTCTCTGAAGCTTTAAAACTTAAAAATGTGAAACAGGAAATACGTTGAGTGTTTTTGTTTACATCTCTCAAAATGGTGTATTGTGTGCAATGATGTGCATTTTCGAGAAATGATTCGGGACTATTTATTTTTAATCATTGCACCCACTGCACTTTGATTATTCTACCAGAATGAAAATATAGTTCCCAGCCATATGAGCCTTGAAAATATCAACGTTTCATTTTTTCCGTCAGTCTTAGCATGTGATGAACTACAGAACAGTCAAGCTTTAAATAGGAAAAACTCTTTGGTTATTTTCGAGTGAGATGCTAATGGTCTAATCTGATTGAATGCACGGTTATAATAGTTTTGGATTAGTTTAAGTTTTTATTTCGTTTTGACTTTTTGTTCTCAAATTCAGTCAGTTTTAACTAGTTTTTAGAGGCAGATTTTCTATTTTTTAGTATATTAGTTTCTATATTTTGAAATTGCTTGGTTTTAGTTTAGTTTTAATTAGTTTCAGTGTTAGTATAAATTAGAATATTTGTTAGGTGCAAGATCCAGAATATTCAGAATATTGTATTTTAACTGTTTTTCAATTCCAAGAGCGCAGAGAACGGACTTGCGTTCTTGCGAAGAGCGGTCTTGCCAGGTCACCTTGGAAGAACGAGCTCGGGAGACCACAAGAACAGAGAACCTGTCCTGTGAGAAATGAGATGCTGTGTTCTTCCTGATGGTCACATGACCATCACACATTTTTAATGGAAAATTATTTT